CGATGTGGGATTTATTTCCAACAACAATAAAACAAAAAGGATAAAAATTCAATTTTATGAATTTAAGTATGCCGGTTGTTTGTAGAAGTGATAGAATTTAGTAATTTTTTGACATCCGCAAGTATTGTCAATTCAATTCAAAATTTGATAATTTGATACTTTTAGTTCTTCATCCTCAAAGTATGTTACTTTTAGTTCTTCTCCTTTTTTATTTTTTCTGTGGACTCTAATGCAAATCAATTTTATTAAGAGAAGTTCCTAAGTACATTTTTTGTCAAATGATATCACACCACATAAGCTAATCTTGAAAAGAAATTGTTCAATGATGCTCTTAAGGAATTTGGACCTATCTAACGATCTTTACAACCGAACTAGAATATTATCCATTCAGAAATAACAGTGGGACGACATGATGAAAAATAAGTTTTCTTTCCGCACATTCCATTAACTCCAGCGAATGATAAATGATATCCATTCAAATTTAAGAGGAAATAATTTTCAATATGTCAATGCTTGTAATTACCATTAATAAAGCTCAAGCACAAACAGTACATATTGTTGAAATATATCTTCCTGAACATGTATTATCTCATGGGCAATTATATATCGCATTTTTTTCGCGGAGTTTCAATTAAAAAAAAAAAGGGTCTTGGTAAAAGGCTAAAAACAGAAAATAAAAATAAGAAAAGTAATGGGATGTTGACACGAAAAATTGTGTACAAAGATATGTTATTTTAATGAAAATATTACATTTCAATTTTCAACCTTTCACATTATATACATAATTTCATAAAAAGTGTTATTCATATATATTCTTTTTAACAATTTTAATTTTTCCTTTAATAATATCAACTACACCAACTACTTTTAAAAATAGTTGTATTTAAAGGACCATGAAGATGTAGAGTTTCAGATCAAAGATAAAGTGGTTAGATTAATAGTTGAAGATTTTCTAGATTTGACTTTATAATTTGGCGTTGTTAGTTAATTTTCTTTAATTTTTTTTTGACTTTTAGCAAAAATTATACACGAAATATTTTATTCACGTACTACGTTAAAAGTAATCGATTTCAAGCCCGTAAAAGATGGATGTTTCAATTTTTCTAATTAAGAAAAATGAACCAGTTTATGGACAACTCGACTTAGCTTGTTCCATGAGACTCACAAGCCCGAGGGCTGAACTGAGCAGGGTTATTGGACATGAGCCGACACGAGTGCCTTGAGGATATGCATAATTTTACATACCAAAGTTTTAAACATTGCTCAAAAAATCTTTCCCACCATAGACATCTTACACAAATATTAACATATAGTCTTATGTACGTTTATCGTCTCTGTTTTCCTTGAACAAGATCTTTAACGTTTGTTTCAAAGTGATTTGTAACCGTTAAACATGATTTATTAAGGGTGTGATTGATGTAGATTTTTTTAGAATGAATTTGGTAACAGTGAATTTTACCAAGAATATGTGGTCAAATGTGTGAAAAATTATGAATTTATGTGCAAATTTATTTTATTAAAAAAAATTAATTTAAGAAAATGAATTTTAAGAAACATGTCCCAAACATGGCTAAATTCCAACCTTTAGTAAATATGGTAGATATTTTGGAAGGTTTCATCCAATAATCACCTTAATACTTATTTAGGGCGTTGAATACTTCACACACAAAAATAACAAATTAATTTTATCAACTTATTTCATGCTTATGGAGTAGAATCATACAAAACCTGTCAGCAATCACAAATACTATAATGCAACAATTATAACTGCAGACCAATGACATCTTACTGTCAAAGCTTTTTCTCAAATTAAAAGTGGCTCGAAACCCAAATCTCCATAATCAAATCTCCTGAGCCTTTTGTTTCTATATATGCACATAACGTACTCGTTAGATTTTTTCAACGTTCTGTTTGGTATAGATGAATTCATAAATTTTTCCTACTTTTTAATTATACATTCTTCAAATAATCATTTTTCACAAAAAAATTTCAAAAAAATCTATATCAAGTGGGATCTTATTTGTATTGTATTGTATTGTAGCCAACTGAATTTCAACGAAAGGGTGTTGTTATTATTTTTAGCCTGCCTTATTAATATATTGTGTTAATTCATTAGATTTGATTAATAACATTACAATATAAATGTACCTAACACATAATATATCACATTTGCTTATTTTATAAAATTTCAACATAAACTTATAGTTTTGATTATTTGTCCTTAGGCATGAAGCCAAAACCTATTAGAAACATTTTGTTAGGTTTTAAAGTTGGCAATCTTTTGACAAAACTATTGCAGTAAAAGAGGTTTCAAAAGTCAAGGTGTCAAGTAGTATCAGAGCCTCATTTCGATTCTCGACCCATATTTAATTTAGATGAGTCAGTCTCTTTTCGTGCCTCCATTTTTTTATGAAAGCAATTATGCATATTGGAATGTTAGAATGAGAGCATTCCTTAAGTCTTTAGATGGGCGGATTTAGGTTAGTATACAAAATAGTTGGACCACCCCTTCCTCTACTGTTTCAGGTTTAGTTACCCCCACAGACATTTCTCTTTGGACCAAGAATGAACTAACCGAGTACAACTTGAATAGTAAAGTGCTTTATGCACTGTTTATGGTTGTGTCTGTTGAAGAGTTTATGAGAGTGTTAATGTGTGAAACCATGAAAGAAGTTTGTGATATTTTAGAGACCACACACGAGGGAACTAAAACCATTAAGAACTCTAAGCTGCAGATGTTAACCACTAGGTTTGAAGAAATTAGAATGAAGGACGATGAATCGTTCGATAAATTCTATGCGAAGTTGAATTACATAGTGAACTCTAGTTTCAATTTAGATGAAAAAATCACTAAGTCTAAAATTGTTCGAAAAGTCCTTAAATCCTTACTTGCGATTGAAGAGAGGAAGGACTTAGATATAATTAAGATAGAGAAACTTGTAGGATTCCTTCAAACTTCTGAACTCAGCATATCTCAACCTAAGAAGAATAAGTCTATAGTCTTGAACACTGTTAGGGATGAAAATTATGATTCATCTGACACTTAATGATGAGGAAATAGTCTACTTCGTTAAAAATTTCCAAAAAATGTCAAGAAATAAGAAGAAGACTAAAAAGAGACATATAAGTGATTCTAGTGAGTCTAGAAAGGTATCTAAATCTGTGAGATGTCATAAATGTTAAGGTTTTGACCACCATAGAAGTGAGTGCCCTAATGGTAAGAGAAATCAGGGTAATATTATGAATGCAACTCTCACTGATAACGAGTCTAGCTCGGATAATCAAAGTAAGATGTCTACACATGAGGAGAGTGGGAAGTTTATGGCCTACATTGCTAAGATTAAGAGTGAATTCATCTTGATTAATTAATAACTGTGACTTGTTGCATTTATTAATTGGTAAATTTAAATTCCGCATAAACATCTACTCATCCCCCTCTAGGTGTAAGTTGGGTTGAACTTAGTAACTTTCACATTTGGCCATTTTGCTTTTAAGAATTGATAGTTTAGGTGCTGTCCTAATTATAATGCAATAAATATTTTCGTCTTGTATTATTAGTTGAATCATTTACAATAATTCCTTCGGTTATTAGGGACAATTCAAAGAAGAACGTTATTTTCCACTTCAATTAGGCTGGTCCAGTTGATTTCTTGCTCCGCCCCTTTATTTCTTTAGATAATTCCACTCTAATAATTTTTCTTTCTAATAGTGCAACGATCACAAACTTTCACCATCTTGTCCTTTATTCCATTACTTAGGGGTTGCTCACACGCAACATTGGACTCCAATATGAATTTAATTTTGTTAGGAATATTGGGCCTAACTCCACCTAATAAAACCGGCTTATTAGGGGATGATTGCCCTCACCTTATTAAGTGAATTATTTATATTTTCCCAA